AAATAATTATTCAGATAGTTGAAAACAAACAAAAAAAAAACATTGCGGTGCATGTCAAAACGATAAAAATCTTTACGTAACATATAGGTATATGAATACAATTTATCCAAAAGCGTAAAATATTGTTTTATAAACGGCGGACGTTGAAAAAACATTGTTCGTCGTCGCGATCGTCTCGATTTAGGAATTTATTATTTACGACGCGTGTCTGCGCTGCAAAATGTCTTACAGCAACGCGTGTCGCACATCTGGGATACGCTTTCGGTGTGCACATTCACACGGTATAAACGTACATTTTTTTGGTCCCGAAAACACGGGATCGATGGAACCCAAGACCCTAGAAGCGTCCCGCAATCTATACCCCGAAGGGTTTCTTAAGCGTATCTCCAAGCAGAGGTTCCATCGCCGTCTCGTTTAGTTTGAAACCGGAGAGAGACGATATCATATAATTGAGACTCATTCGTAACCGTCGGTAGGTATCGTGTCAATATCGTATCAATTACATACATATACTGATGCGTAGGTCGTAAGTAACACATAATTTATTATTGTTGTAAAACAGAAGTCAGCGGTGTTCCCATCTCTGCAGAATATCGACGACGTGATGGAGGGCGATCGAGCTCATACTCTACACAACTATACACTCTTTGATACGCGGAAGGTCGCGCTCTCGACGACTCGCACGCATTGATAATCAACTTATCGATGTTTTGGAATTTTTCTTTTTTAACATCGATATTCGTTTTTTATAACAGTTAAATTTAGTGCGCCAATTATAATATTCTGTTTTTATAGCCGAGATACAATTATTTGTAAACACCGAATGAAAAAAACTTACGGTCGACACCCTGAAATAGCTGCAGGTGAGGTGCGTTTCAGGCCCCAGCTCAATAGGTTTGACGGATGCGTTGTTTATTCGGCTGGTACCGAATTGGTTCCCAAGGCCCAAGCCCCTACCCCCACAAGCTGAATTGTTCACTGTTTCAAAAAGGTTATTTTATTCAGATGAGCAGAAGTGATTACCGTTTCTGTTCGGGTCAAATAGTTAAAATTTTAATTTTTCAGCAATTTTTTATAATTCTTGGCAATATTAAATCATATAATAAAATATTACCAACACCCATCCTAATATTTGTTTATTTTATGGACACATTTATAAAACATATTTTGAAGTGTTATTAGCACATTATAATATCGCATATGTATATATCGTTGTCATAATGTAATTTTTGTATTTCCTTGAAGGTCTCAGCACTTAGAATCACTTCTTAAAACCATTATACTCTGCAATTAAAGATATGATTTTTAATCAATTTCAAGATATTCAATGGATGAATAAATCATCTTTTTAAATATATGGTTTTCTGTTTTGTAGTTTAAAATGTTAAAATAATACCAAAATAAAATATGTGAAATCATGAACTTACAACATTTTGTTTTGAGTATAGCTAAAAACGTATCAAATAATTATTTTTATCAGAAAACTTCACTGCTTATTTATATTTTATACTTGTTGGTAATTGGTATGTTATTTAAGGAACGATACCAAACGAATACATTTTGAAAACAATTTTAAATTATATTTTTTGTACTGGAAACAATACTATTTCGCCATAATTTAACCAAAAAACCAAATAAACAGTAACAGAGATGATTGATCAGAACGACGCTTCCTCAAAATTCAACTGCTTGATACCTATATAAAAACGTATCGAATGATTTATTTTCGGAAGTCTTTTAAGAGCAGTATACTTTAGATACGTAGTATACAGAGTGGTTCACTAACAGTGGTTACAACTAGTTTTTTTTCTTTAATAAAGCGCTTATAGAAATTCTTAATTTTGGAATTTAAAGGTATATAGTTAAACTTTTTTTTTTCAAATAATTAAATTTTTATGAAATTTAAGGTTTGTCTTACGACTATACAAATTAAAAACACATTTTTTTCAGAGAAATTTCAGTTTTTTTTTCTTACAAGCAGAATATTTAAGTTATCTAGAGTTATCTACAAGGAGCCTTGTATTAAATTTTTAAGATTTTTGACCCAACAAATATCATTTTATTGACAATTTTAGAAAAAAAAAACTAAAAAAATTGAAAATTGGAAATGTCGGTAACAGCTTAAAACGAATCAAAATATTTTTAAATTTTATCAAATTAATGAATTGATAATATAAGCATATACTGTAAATTTGTATTTGCAGTTATTCGTTTTTTAATTACAACAAAATAAGAAAATCGTTACGTAAATATTCAGAGAAAATGTCTAGTCAAATCTATTGTTATTTTTTTTCTAGAGTTACACTTAAAACCAAAATCGATGTTTTTGAACCCTGGTTTCGCGTAAAAATTTCCGTTTTCCCTTAATTTTTTGTTTGTTTTCCTGTCGCTTTTCAAAACTGTTGGGAATTTTAATCTCCCGAAAGCACCAACTAGATTCACTTTCTTACTAGAAAAGTTATTGTAGAAGAAAATCAAAACACTCACTGCCCCGAACCGTGCAGATGACAGGCATACAAATAAAAAACACACATCATTGTAAGCTCAATACATTCATCGCTTCACTCAAAATCTAAAATAAGTTAGGCCACTCCTTAAATGGTAAATAATTTTAGTATTTTAAAATATGGTAGGTTTGTGGGTACTGTCTAAAAATCAGAATTTTGATTAATTAATTGTTCAAAGACACAATCGGAGTGAACATGTATAATTAATCAACCTGTAGTATTTTTATGGTGACGTTAGTTATTGATAGTTGATTAGTCATGTACATTTTTTTTCATAGTGATATTTCTATTTTCTTCAAAACAAATTCTTATAAGGTCTCATACAGAATCATTATATTATTATTCATTTAATAATAACAATGATGTTTATTTCTTGTAAAAACAGCCAATATGCGTACATGATATAATAAATTACATTAAAAGATACAAACTCCCATATAAGCATAGGTAATGCTTGTGGTGGGGATGAAAAGTTTGAGTTCATTACAATTTACATTTTACAATCAATTTTTTAATTAATTGATCTGAAGTGAAATATTTTTCTAGTCACAGGGTAATTTTTTGAATTTCTCATATCATTTTCAAACTAATTGTGACCATTTTTTTGATAGTTTAGGGTAAACAAATCTCTAATTAAAATCGTTTTTTTTTAAATGCAGCGGTATATTTTATTATTGCTTTTGACTATAATAAAAATGTCCAGTTCCACAGGCATAAACCAACTCAAATATCCAGCACTCTCTTTTATAAATATTTAATAACGAGACGTTTTCAATTACTCTGATCGAGATAGCTTTTATTGCACGCACAATAGCTAGTACATCCACACACATTGGTACAACATTTTACTCTATTAGGTACCTACAACTCGTAAATATATCATTAAATATGTATGTTCATCGTAGATTATTTTAAGCGGGTTTATGTAGACCAATTGTACTGTGAACAAGGGTTAGATGAGTGGTTCAGTACCCAGCTCAATTGGGTGGGTGAATGGGTGGTAATAATACAGGTACATCGTGGTTTCAATATATGCACACAAAAACTGTTTAACATAATAATATAATATTTGTGTCCCTTATGAAAGTGATAATAATGGTGACCAACGAGTTATGTTAAAAATGAAAGAAAAAAACCAATTTATTGGAAACAGCTAACATTAATAAATTATTATTTATTGTTACGATTACTGTGCAATACATTATATTATTTTGTATGTACGACGGCGACGACAGCGGCGGCTCGTTTATTACGCCCTAGGACTGTGTGTTTATGAGAGGCCGTTTCGAAATCCAAACAATTATACAGTGCACGTGCATTAAATATTATTGTCACGACCTATTTTTCGATCCCGGATACAGCGTCGTGGTTCGTCTGGAAAACACTGTTAACAAATAACAATACATTATGTACAATAATCATAAAAAATATATATATATATAAATATAACGGATATTGCAGTATATACTCGTTGTATTTCCGGATGGGAAATGACACGTGGGGGGTAGGCTGACGAATTTGTGTATTTTAAACTCATTTCTAAGGAGGACGACGCCGCATAAATGTATCATTTGAAATGTATTTTTTTAGCATTAATACTATGTTTTTGCGATATTTAATGAATTTTACTTTTGTTTGGTATACAGTTGGATATAAATGTCTAGATCACTTAAATATGCCACAGCGGTGTGGTCTGGTATAGCTGAATTCCTTATTCGTTGTGTACGCCGTCCAAACACGAAAACTATCTGAACATTTTATGCATCATATACAATTAAATCACCGACAACCTGTCGCACACTGTCTGCTATGTACGGGCGTATAATCATAATTAATTATTAATGTAATTATTTTTCTCCAGACAGTGTCACCATATACCTATATTTTTACTTCAATACATACGCTTCTCGACCATTCCGACCTTCGTACGGACTCCGATTTGATATGTACATATCTACACCACCTCGCCTACCTGCCGCGCACTGGTATATCCAGTGGACATAGGACATGTTTTTTTAAAAAAAAAAGTGACGTGGCGGTGGAAAAAAATAAACCGGAGAAAAAATGTACGAACACGCGGAAGAAGTTTCCGGTATTAATATTACGCTGTCGGGTTATTACCCCATACACATATTATAAAGTAACCGGACGGCGGCGCGATGTCGTCGCTCGGATGACGAGAGAGGGTGCGTACTACGAATGGAAAGTCCTATACATATCCGCCACCGCCGCCGCCTCCTATCCACGGACGACGTGCAGCGCGCCCAGCATCACTCGCGTGGCGTTAGAAGGGGGATGTTTGTGGCCGGGGGTGGCTGGATTGGAGCTGCGCGAGGGAGGAAGGTGGTTTACGGAAAGTCGAGGCTGACGCGGACCGCGTGTCGGGCGGGGAGGTGGCCGGATGGGGTGGACGGGGTTGGTGCCGATGGTCTCGCCGCCGGTGCTCACTGCACGAACCGTCGCAGTTGTCGTGTGCCGGGGAATCAGTTTTGGCGGACCATCGTCGGAGGACGGACGGGCAGACAGGACCTGCACCATTGTCGTCGAGTTCGTCGTCTTCGTCTTAGTCTTCGGTATAATACATTATCCAATAGAGTTGTGAACGTCGACAAAGTATTTTCGAATGCACTTGAACAAAAAAATAATAATTATTATTTTTTGAACCAATGTTGAGTCTTCAGTACGCTGTTGCTGATGGTGATGGTTTCGAACCCGGCGACTGGCGCCGTCGCTTAACCCTCCGTGACACATAGTCGCAAACGCCACTTGTTGTTGTCTTCGCCGTCCGAGGCCCACTGACACACGCGTTCAGCGCCTGTTTCGGTGAGTCCACTTTTTTAAATTATTTTATTATTCCAGTAAAAATTAAGGGCTGTATTTTATCATCGTTATCAAACTTACCGACAGTTAATCATATTCATAGTTATTATCATTATCATATAACTTTAAATATATAACTAGTTCATATGAAAACGGGCTACTACCCGTCTAAATAAAATTAATAAATAAATAAAGATGACGTGATTGGGCATATTTTCTCCACAATGAATGATCTCCGTTGATTATCAGAAAATCTTTTATAAATGTGTGTTAATGAATGCACTGTGTGAAATCGAGTATCATGCCTTTAGCGACATCACACTCACTTGAAAGAGACTTTGGGAGTTTCGTCGTAACTGCATAGATCGGTATATTTTGTCATATTCCTTGGGCAGTCATGTTTGACTTTTTAAGGTTTGCGTAATTTATCAATCACAATATAAGTATCTTGATCGACCTACGCATTATTGACTAACACTGATCGATCGTCTGTCCGTTGATATTTAACTAATCCAGTTTTATAATATTAAAGATTTGTCCTCTCGTTAATTATTTTGTCAACGATTAATGTATACAGCTTCACAGCTGCAGTCCTTAAACCAAACATTTAATTGACTTGTTTAGTGCAGTTTTTGGCCACCGACCTGCCATAGTAATGTTGTGAAATCATAACGTTAAATATTAGGTACTACGACTCGCACATACAAAGTGCTATGAGTGGGTACACGGCGGGTGATGGGTACATTTGTTTATTTACCGCATTTTCGCGGCTGCAAGACGTGCGACGAAACAAAGTTAATACTTTATAGTTTCTTTGGTTTTGTTTTTATAACAATTAATTATATTTATGTGTCGATATAGCACGTTGTGTCGTGGTTTTCGCCAACCACACTGTCGGTGTTACCTCGACGTGTGTACATAAATACGAAAGAGGAAGGCGCAATAACCGTTTTTAAAACGAAAAGTGGTTTAGAGATCTATATGTATGTTTAGATTATTTAGAATACCTACTTTACCGGTGTGTTTGTTAACAGTTCTAAAAATATTTTTTACATAATTTTAATTAGTTTTCCTAAACAAAAAAAAACTAAGCTTCTTACTTTTTGCGTTTTAAAATACTTTCAAAAAGTTAATATTTTTGGAAATGATGCGAATTCGGTTTATTTGGTAATGCTAGGTAAATTATAAATATGGTTTTGTAAATTTTGCTTATGAAATTGATTTAGATGTTGTTAACTTATATGTATTTATTTCATTTTCTTTTAAATGTTAAAAATCAATAAAAGTAAATAAATACGTTTTATAACTTCATCAAAATTCAAATGTAATGTACGATAGTAGATGCAAGTTATATACAATAAGAAAAAAATAAAATAAAAATGTGGTTTTTCAGAAAGATTCAATATATCTACAACTCATTTTTATATTAGAAATTAAATAGGATATTACAATGTTTCAAAATTTAGAACTCCTACATTCAATATAATAATTATCAAAAAAATAATAAACTAAGTTTAAAATATTAATGTTTTTAGTTCTGTGAAAATGGACATTCTAAATTTTGCGACTACTAGTAGTTGACTCGGAATAATGTCTCGTGTAATATTAAACATAAATTATATTTTTATGATGTAGTTCATTATATATATCATTATCTATTTGCAATTTATTCAAACTTCTTAAACATTGTTTTTAATAATCAAGAAATACATTTTATGTAGAAAAATAAGTTAATATATTTCATTTTCATCGACATTTTAACAGCATAGTGGTCTTAAATCAATGTCAAAAACATGATAAAAATTTAACGTAATATGACACAAAAACTAATTGAAGTAATTCGATGGCATATAATCAAAACCGTTACAATATTTTATACTCACAATGTTTAAGAGATATTCATAAATAAATTGTAAATTTTAATTAATAGAATTTGTCATATTATTATTATTTGTACACAACATAAACAATACAATTGACAACCAAAAGTATATTTATACTTCTTGCGGGGTGCAGCTTTGGTTAAATATGCGCATGCTAAGTAGTTTTAAAAATATAATATCTGAATATTTCCTCTGTTACAAACCCTCTGGCAGATAAAAAATAATCCGATTAAAAAATTATAGCCCAAAGGCGAAAGCACTATATTATAATGTAATAATAATATATAAAACGTATTTTACAGCGTACGCATTGGTCACTAAAACGCATAACGATGACGCACAATATTATAACACGCATTATAACCTACATATACACAGATGCTTTATTTAAATTTATCGACATTATTAATTTCGTTTTTCTCTGAGTTACAAATTTGATAAATTACGCGAAAACATCATCGTGACACCGAAATCGATTAAATTGTTAAATTAGGCCACCGACTTAACGTTCGGGTCAACGAAATTGAAATAATATGCATGTTTAGTCAAACGTCGGTAAATGCTTACAGCCTGAACCTTGCTTATTTTGCAAGTCTTTTGACTTGTATATGAAGAGGATCTTTATTCAATATTTGCAGAATAAATTGTAAACATAAATACAATATTATAACTTTCTTCTCGTCCGAGAGAAGACATAATAATATTAATTTGTTTTCCTTCTTTTATATTTTTAGCATACAAAATATACAAAGGTTATTTATCTTACATAAATATAATTTAAATTTTTATATTATACATATAACAATGTACATTTCAATTTTTTTAAGATTAGAAATTGTTATGTTGAATTTAGTTTTGAGAATGGACGAATTACTTCATATAAATAATCGTCTGGAATGTTAAATTCATTTCTGTCTTCGTCGAACTTTGGACAGTTGTAGACGACGATGTGCTTGATGCAGTTGTTTGTTTTATATGTATAACGAAACTAGGATAACCCATAGGCAACTTAAAGGCAAACTTCATCGAAACTAAAAATGAATTTAAAACCCTACCCACTCACAGCTTATAATATACACGATTACTATAATTAGTATTACCATTACTATTTACTATAATTATTATTTAGTAATTGTTTTTCACTTTAATATTGAACACCCACCCATCCCTAAATATTTTTTTAAAAAAAACCGAGAAGCGACTGCTTCTCAAAGACCACTTAGTTTCGCCACACGGTGCATGAGGGTGGATCTGTTTTTGTCATCGATCATCATAAGGTGTATATGTGTATATTGAGTGTGGCCAATTCTTATAGTCGATTGAGAATTACCTCTTTTTTTTTTCTATTTAGACCTTTGTACATATTTCGACTAGACTTTAACAGAGTATTTGATTTCTTTTTGACATAATATTTTATTATGTTATAAGGATATATTTTATACAAATAAAGTGTAAAATAAAATAAAAGTTTTGCATCTAATAATATTCACGCTTGTAAGAGTACATATTACAATTGTGTATCACGCAGAGTTGTGTTATTTTATTTTTGTCTCCACGTCGTCGTGGATATTATATTATTATTATTTCTTTTTTTGTACCATAAAATGGAACGATCGCACTCGCGAGGCGCATATTATTATTATAACATTATAATAAGTGTGCGAGTGAAGGTTTATTATTGTCGATACGTTTTCAGCAGCAATATTTCAGTTCCTATTCCTACTGATGTTTTCAGAGACGACGGCGGCGACGACGACGAAAATACTAACACTTCGTAGAAAAACATTTTTGCGTAATAACACGAAACAAGCTTATTCCGTTTGCAGCCATTTTCGCCATTTCTCGTTATTCTATTATTATATACGAAGTACATTATAGGCCAACTCGTAATTTATTATATATTATGTATTATGGATATTTATAGTTACATGTTTTCCGAATTCCCGTTTGAAGGTTTCCCAATTTAAATCGTATATATTTTGTGCGAAAACCCAGAACTCAGCAGGCAGCAGGAGCACAGCTCCTTTGCACTATAAGGCAGTGAGTTGCAACAGGAAAATATCATTATGAATATATTTGTACATACCGTCACATAATGAGAGTATTACAACGGGGCCATAAATATATTATAATAAACCCACTTACGCACATAGTACCAAATGGAAATCCTACTGGAAAAAGACCACTGGGATTGAAATGGGGGGGGGGGGGCGTAGTAAGGAAAGATGTAGAAGCATTAGGAGGATGATCCGATTGGAAGATAAAGGCGACGGCTATTGAAAATTTGAGGCAATGTTGTACACCGGGATGGTCCTAGTGGACGATTTACCTGAGAATAAGAATAAGATATTTATTTATAGTTAATCGGTTTTCGATTTCCCATTTAAAGGCATTCTCGATTTAAATAGTATATATTTTGTGCTGAGGACCGAGTCAGCAGGAGCAGGAGTAGGAAGGTATCGATATCAAATTATACATACGTTACACAATAAGCGTCGGAGAAATAAATATAATATTTATAATTATATAATATACGTATAGTAATGTTTTGCAACGTTAAATCTGACCACCACCTCATTGTCTGCACGCTGGACCGTTGGATCGAGTATAATTATAAAATATTATGTCGAACTACGTTCGGACGGTCTATTATGATTAAAACGATATTGGATTAGTACGTAGTGCCTGAATAGGTAATAATTAAAATAATATATACAGAGTTACCTGGCTATATGTATGTAATATTATTATATTATACAATATTCGTCCCGTTTAGAATTCCTTTGATCGCATCCTTCGTACCGAAAGTGCGTTGATAGTAACGCGCGTGCGTGTTTATACTATATTATAATATACTGTGTAGTCACCTATAAATAATTGAAAATTGGCGACGTTTGTGCGTGCACAAAAGCGACGGGGACTGGATGAGATGCTTAATCATTGATGTGAATAATAAAAATTGTTATTTTTTATATGTATATATATATATATATGACGCGTCGATTATTTCAAGGGAGTTTTTTCATTTAATTTCATTAAACGATGCAATGCAAAAGGGAAGAATTAAAATACAAGCGGCAATCGGTTTTTTATACGTCAAAACAAATTTGAGAGAATGAC